TATAAATCTTTCTATATCAAAATGTGTAAATATTGAGGTTCAAATGTTTTCACAGATACTGTCTTTGCCTCCATTTGTTTTTGAAAAATTAAACTCACCAAATAAGCTGTTTTTATTTATGTTTTTTAAACATATTTTTCCAAATACAGATATTGCAAAACCTGGTACAGGATATAACTTTGCACTGTCAAATAGGAGCTCCATCAAAAGCTTCTTTCCATAAGTAAAGTTTCCAAAATTTAATCACAGAATTTCAAAATTAAATATTTTACACAATATAAACTCCCATTGTATAATTTTTTAAGTTAATTCCCTGTTTTTGTAGGGTTAAATTTCCATGTCTTCCAGTTTGAAATTTTGTTTTCAATAATTGCAATTGTCAAGATTAAAAAGCTGAAATTACTCTTTTCCTTTGTGTGTTGAATATTTTAACTAAAAACTTTCAAATGATTTGGAACAAAATGCAACTTCTAAAAGCTGATCAGTGACCAGCAACAAACAAAATGTGTACTGCCATGCATAAGATTATTTTTTAAATTAACATCAACTTTATCTTCTAAATATTGTACATAGTTCACTTTAATTTTGTATATATAAAACTATGGGTGAATTTTGACTAGTTACCATTTCAGTTAATAGCATAGCACAGCTTTATTACATATGTACCATCATCAACCCTGGTACATTTCCGCTCTATAGATTTCTTTTTATAGTAAAAGCATTACTTTACTGTGATGCTGAGCTTCATCAAAATATGTATTCATACTAACATTTGCATTCACAAGCTTAATTTTTAAAATTACAGTAGCATTTACAATAAGGTCAGAAAATTCATCTTTGACACAATAAACTTCCAGCCAAGCCAGGGTGGCTCAGTGGTTGAGCATCGACCTAGGATCCAGTGGTTGAGATCTCCATTCGATTCCCTGTCAGGGCACAGGCCCGGGTTGCGGGCTCGATCCCCAGCAGGGGGCGTGCAGGAGGCAGCCGATCAATGACTCTCTCATCACTGATGTTTCTATCTCTCTCTCCCTCTCCCTTCCTCTCTCTGAGAAATCAGTAAAGACATATTTGAAAAATGAATAAATAAATAAATAAACAAACAAACTTCCAAGGTTTTTCTTTGATTCTGTGAATTGAATTAAACACTTTTAAATCGTTATTGGAATTAATTTTCTATCTTTGTAAAACTGTCATAACTGAACTGTGTGCAAACTCTTCTGCTTACAAGGTCAATTCATCAATAGCCATTGCTTTATATTGCTCACAGGCCCCAGGAAACTTGGAATTAAAAATGAGAAAAATTAATTTAAGATAACTGTCTTTTGACCTAAATGAAGTCAAGCTGCCTGGAGTGATATGTAAACACATCATCGGCAGCCGCATGCATTACATCACATGCTCTTGGGCTTAAAGGTATAGGTCAGATTTCAACAAAGGGGGGTCGAATGTTTTAAAATAATGGGCACAGTCTTAAAAATAATGACTAGCTTTTGATGTTGCTGCTTCTGCAGCAGATTTCTGTCTTCTGATGGTCTTATGGCCAGTGATGGATTAAGGACCCCATGGTGGATGGTATTTTGTGTGTTCTGTCTTTATCATCAACTTTGAGAAACAGAAAACTGATACTTAATTTTTATTAAACATGTGTACATTAAACCCTTACTCCTGAATTGGTTTTCGCAAAGCAAAATAGTTATAGATTTTATAGGCAATATAAAGTTATAGATTTATAGCATGAGATGAACGACTAACCTACTGTAGCAGCAGCATCCAGATGCTCTGTAGCCGGACGGCTCAGCCCCTACCTCCCACACATATCGCACTTATAGGAATTAATCTTTAATTCCCTACATGTCCCACTAAGCCTGTCCACTGACTGTTATCCTGGTGGCTTCATGCCTCTCACAGGTCATGACATGGGCCACCCAGCAAGGGCTGTGACACAACTAGCTGCTATACCAAGTGGAAGGCAGGCTCTGTAGCATTAAATACATCTCCTACCCCCGGCGGAACAGGTAGCAGTTATCTGTTGCTCGCTGCTCATGTTCAAATGTCATCATTTTATCAGTCAGTGCCCTGCATGCTACACTTCAAAGGGAGATGCAAGTTTCCTTGAGACTAGATAAGGTTGGGAAAGGAGAGATGGGCTGTCTCTCAGCGTTTACCATGTGTTGCAGTGAGAACTCTGTCAAACGCACCTGCCTCATACCCTCTACTAGGAGACACCGTGTGAGAAATTGAAGTGCAATGCAGAGGTCTTACCAAATCTCTTGAATTACAACTATTAATAATGATCCTCCTTTAAAAAGGAGAAATTCCAGGACAAATGCTAAACTAGACTGAATGCTTGAACAATAGGCTAAAACCAGGATGCTCTAGGCAAATCAAGATGCATGTCTCCTTAACCTCGAATTGTCTTTGATTCCAGCATGTACAGCCAACCCCTGGATCTTTATGCTTTCTTCCGATTTCTCTTGAACCTGGCCCCTATTTTTAACTTTTACTGTATCCACGTTAACCTGGATACTTGTTACAACATGGCTGTATTATTTATAACTATCTATGTATTGGTCTACGGCTCATTTCCTCCTTCTATCCATTCTCTTCATACCTACCATGGTTTTCTTCTCCAGAAACTTTTGTGTCTCATCACACCCTTGCTGAAAAAATGTTGTTTTTTAAATATATCTTTATTGATTTCAGAGAGAGGATAGGAGAGGGAGAAAGAGAAACAGAAACATCAATGATGAGAGAGTCATTGATTGGCTGCCTCCTGCACGCTCCTGACTGGAGATCAAGCCCACAACCCAGGCATGTGCTCTGACCGGGAATCGAACCCTGATCGCCTGGATCCTAGGTCAATGCTCAACCGCTGAGCCAAGCCCAGCTGGACTGCTGAAAAAATGTTTAATGGCTTCTTATTACCTGCAGAGAAAATTCCAAACTTTGATTCCGAGTATGGTCTGTTCCTATTCTATACTTACAGATTCATTGTCATTCCTCCCTTGCACGGATTCTCCACTTGAGCTTGACTTGATCCCTCCCCATTTCCTAAACACACGTGGCATTTGGCGTTTTCTGTCCATGCTTTTGTTCATGCTGTACTTCCACATAGTCTTCCCAACCTGGACCTCACTTGTGAGATCTGATCTATGTCTTTAAGCCCAAGTAATATTTTCAAGAAACCTCTGATTCTCCACCTAGGAATATTCTCTTTCTCTTCTGAAGGTCTGCAGTGGTGTAGAACCTACTCTGATGGTGTAGGTTCAACTCTTTCATCTTTTGATACACGGCAATGCCATACAGCACCTTAGTCTGTGAACATGATGCTGCTTAATAACTATTCATGGAGTGAATTAATAAATGAATGGCTAATAGATCCAAACTAAAGAGATAATGAGTGGAGTCTTCCCTCTAAAAAATATTTTTTACAATTTACTGGAAAGTATATTAATCAACCCAGGCTGCCATATCAAAATCACGAAGACAGGGTGGCCTACACAACAGACTTTATTTCTCACAGTTCTGGAGGCTGTGAAGTCCAAGCTCAAGGTGCCAGATGATTCAATTCCTGGTGAGGACCTCCTTCCTGGCTTGCAGAGGGCCATGTTCTTGTGTCCTCACATTGTAGAGGGACACAGAGAGGGAACTCTGGCCCCTCATTACAAGGACACTAATTATAAGGCCACTAATTATAAGGACAATAATCCCATCATGAGGAGACGCCTCTTATGACTTCATCTAAACCTAAATTACATCTCAAAGGTCCTACCTTTAAATTCCATCACATTAGGGGGCTAGGACTTCAACAAATAAATTTTAGGGGAACACAAAAGTTCAGTACATAATGAGGACATTTAATCACAAGAAATGACTGAATTCCAACCTCTGTGTGGGAGGATCTTTTCAGTGAACTGGCATTTTGCTCTGTAAAAAACTATAAATAGGTCGATCCACCTTTTGTATAAGATCAACCTTGCTTATTAATCTTTGGGTCATCCATGAACACTAAATTCAATATCATGTCATTTTTATAACTCTGATTTCCACTAACAAATAAAGGTATAATGGATAAAGACATAAGGCGTGAATTAGCATTTGTGTCTCTGTGTCTGTCTCAAACTAAAAGATCCAAATCAAACTTATAACAGTGGCTTTTTATGGGGAAGACAGTGGCATTATAGGAGTATATCACCCTATGTGCTCCTGAATGGTTTTAATATTTTTGTAATGAGAATATTTTATGTATAATATGTGAAACAGAAAAATGATTTAAAAAAATTTTAAAGAATTCTTGGCCTACATGGCACTATGTGTATAAGATCTTGATGTGGCAGCTGCCTTCAAAGAGTTCCTACATAGCATTTCCCTTGAAATTCTCAAGAAATGAAAAGAATAAAAACTTGTATCAATGTATTTCCAATGATATCTCTATTTTTTCCCCAAAAAATCTTAGCCAAGTAAGAAAATAATCTATGGCTGTTTGAGAGTAAAAACATTTGAAAAGTAACTATACAGAAAAAAAAGAAAAGCATAGAAAAAGTGGAACTTGTGTGTCTTACAAATCATATAAACTCTTCACACAAAAAGAATTTACCATAAAAAAATTAATGGATTCATAGGCATAGATCTGAAAAACATTGTGACTAAAATCAGTAAAGCTATTAAAGTATTTAAATATTTAATTCTTTTAAGGATCAAGGAAGTGTTAACCATAAAACAAAATGAGAACATCTGGAAGGCAAAGAGGTGGAAAGATGGGAAATTAAAAAGCAAATGGTGTGTTGAGTGCTGCTGAGAGACCTCAGCAAATGGCTATCAACCCATTTCAAAATAAATACTGAGTTTGTGTAATTACAATGAGCCTGAATATGGGTTTAACATTTGTACAACTCCTGGGAAGTTGGGTGAGTCAGAAACATGAAACCAAAGCAAAGGGAGGGTACTGAAATATTATTTCCTGTTGTATTGTAGAACGGAGAAGAGAATAAATATACCGATTACTTGCATGGCCGGTTCCACGTCTGCTGTGGCTTCTTCCAACAATGACAGCAGCTTGGCTGATATCTGATGCACGGATTCAATATTGCTAAACAAGCTATCCACGTCCAGCTGATCAATCTGGAGAAACACAAACACTGAGCAGCAGCTGATGGAGAGAGACGCACCGTATTTAGGGTGTTATCTCTCCCTAAACACTAAGCGTTTCATACCCCAGCCCAGGGTGCTTTCATCGACCATTTCTGTAAACACCCTTCCGTAGGATTCCTAGGGGAAATGTGCAGTTTTTCATGCAAGAAATTGGGGTGGGTGCATCTGTTACCTCTGTCTTTTTATTTTAACCAGAGTTTTGTGAGTGGAGTGTACATCTACATATTCCTATAAGAACTAGAGTGTGAAGAAGATGTGGGCCCGCTAACTGGTATTTTGTGAACTGCCCTCTAGGAGGGTATGTACCTGTGCATATGAATTTAGAATATTTACTGCTTACACAGCAGAAGTCAGGCCTTACTCTAGGCAAGTAACTATTTCCAAAGCTGTTTTAAAACCACAGATGTTTTCAAGCTGGTGACAAGTAGATGTGCTGAGTTGCTTCCTGATTTTTTAAAAGAGAAATGTGAATAGAAATCTTTAACAAACATGTTCTGCTAATTGAAGATTCATCATACTTTGTTTCTTCATGTGCACTCTCAAAAACCAGTGTTATCATCCCTACATCTTGTAGCTGGTATTTGTAATAATTTACCTATTCATTCATCCACCTTTTCATTAAATATTTCCTGAGGATCTCCTATGTAGCAAGAATTGTAAAAGAAGCCACACTCTGTGAGAGGCATTGGATGATCAGTGGGAGGATGCCCAACTATCTTAAACAATCTAAGTGGAGCGTTTTCTGATTTTGCTAGATCTTACTCAAATCTTTCTCTTCAGTTTAAGTCAGATCTTTCTTAATCAAACAGTGTCTACTTGGGTTATGAAAAGATTGGTACAAGCCCCACTGGGCTACCACAGGGGATAGGAGTAGATGCCTCTTACCCATGGTTTATTGTGCATGAGGTCGTAGGTGAAAAACCAAGTCATCAACAATCAAGTAATGGAGGTACTTCAAAGGGGAAAAGTAAAGCTGCTGGTAAAAAACCCAGGTCAGCAAAAATTAGAGGTCAGAGAGAGACAGAAAGTTGAGCTAAGGATCAGAAAAAAAGAGGCTGAGAAATTAAGGGAAATTGGCAATACCAAATACAGAATAAGAGACAGACTTGGAGGAATTCTGAAAATGAGGTCCAACAATTGCAGGTTCTTTGGCATGCTCTCAGCATCAGTTTCATTGGATGTGCTAGGTCTGTTTTGTGGGGAGGAAGGAGGCAGGCACTCATCCATTTATCCATTTATCCTGTCCTTTCTGACACTGGCCCATCCATCGTTCCCCGTACTGGACACAGACACTTATTTGAAAAGGATATTCTGTTATTGAGCACACAAGCGTTAGTTTCCATTGCACCTTGTTTAAAATTTGGTGACTGTGTCAGTTATTTCTTATGCAGTATGGTCTGGCTGTACACATTTCTTTCAACTATCTTGGGAAATTCCTCACCTTTCTGTCATCAATCTTGACCTAAAAAAAACACATCCAGTCTCATTTGTAATCAAATTCCATGTGCTTGTATGTAATATTTCAATATAGTACTATACAACTTTTTTCCTATTTTTATGTCTCCTGAAATTATCTTTATCTCTGTACTACATTAAACTGCAATCATTATTATATCTTAGGGTCTTTAACCCAGTATCTCTTAAAATGTTCCTTTGTTAAGCATTCACTTTAATAAAGATAAGGTATATGTGGCTCTCTTCTGCTTGAAATCTATGACATTTAATATTATACAAAAATCTGAAAAGCAGATAATGGTTATATGGCTCTTTTGTTAATATTAATTTTAAATGGCTCAAATGTCACATAGTTGAGATCACAAATTGAACTAATTATTTATTCTAAGGAATTGCCTTATGCATTGGTTATTAATTAAGTCATAAAAGTGTACCTTTGCCCAGAGCAAAATGTTTTCCAAAAGTTGTGTATGAGTCAAATTTTGTAGGTTGAGTTATTTTAGATGTACTAGCAAAATATTTCTTAAAATCGTATTTTGAAATGAATCCTTCTAAAATGTGAAATTTCATCCCTAATTCACTTGCTTTATAAGACAAAAGACTAGATGTAATTCATACAGTGTACCCGATTATTATTTCATTTTGTTGTGGAAACTTTATTCTGAGGAACTAAAAATGCTTCATATTTATTATTTCATATATCATTACAACTTCTCTGTAAAATGTATAGAGTTTGAAGATAAACTCATGCAGAGTAAAGAAAGGTGTTATGCTTAAAATTATGAAGTTCAAAAAACAGCTAGAACTGGAAATTGACCTTTCAGTGCTATCCCCTAGTCCATTACCAGCAAATATTATTAATAGAATACTTTGCCATCTTTACTTGGATTTTTTTGGTTTGTTCCTGAGTTTTTCACTAAGTTGTCACTTCTGCATTTCCCAAGGTCAGAATCTTGCATATTTGTCTAATTTAGATTTTAAATTCATTTAGCAAGGATTTAATTCTATCTATCTCTATAATCTTAGCTCAATACAGCAAATACTAAATAACAAAAACATAGGTTTTAATTTAATTTCTATCTGAAAGACAGAAAAGATTAAAACATCGGTTGGCCTGGTTTCAACTGCCCATGTCACCACAGGCCCATGGGATTCTGTGAATCATAAAATGAATTCACATTCAATCACTGCTATGCCAAAGGACAAACAAAGGCCTGGTCCAAATAAGCTTTTAAAACTGGTAGATGATTTTATAATTATTGATATAAATTCAAGGAATCATTTAGGTACATTTATTAAACATTTACTAATAAGAAAAAATTCTCTAAGAGCTTAAATTGTGTTCAATTTTAAATGGATTAAAGATTCATTTTTTTTTTTTGAAAGAAGATTTAATCTAGGCATACATTATTCTAAGCAAAGTCAGTATATAATAATTTAAATGTACAAAACAGAAAATTAAAGGTCAGCGGTTCTGGTGAGAATTTAATCTTTGCTTTACACATATATTTATCATAGGATCTATTTCAAATATCAATTTCCCATTATATTTAAATAATTGCTGACCTTACTATTGCACGTATGCAAAACCTCCCAGGTAAAAATGTCTACATAAAGGAAAACATCTGTAAAACTTTGTCAACTCAGAGACTGTAATCATTGGTATAGAATCACTTTGTACCTGAAAAGCACCATACACTCCTGTTTTCAAAAACATTCCTTGAATTTACCTGCATTTACATCCTAGCCCAAGCCCTTCCCTTTTCTCACAAATGCTTTGCCTTCATATTAGTTTACAACGTTCTACCCATCTGAAAAGGAATATGATGATAGTTTGTCTATTAGTTTCTCACATGTCTCTGCCTTATTGGTTGCATTTTAGGGGAAAGCCACAGCCCCCCAACTCTCTCTGATCTGGTGAAACTGTCAGTCATGATACCCTGCCCCCTACCTCACTCCCTACAGTGGTGGATCTGCGACAGAGATTGGCTTAGAACAGGCAGGTTTCCAAGCAGAGCCAATGAGACTCTTCACTGATTTTTAATAAATGGTCTTTGGGAAATAGAAAGGCCTGGATTGTAAGCCCTAATTATGTAAGTTTCTGTCTTCAGCAGTCATCTTTGTGCAGAGCTTGAGTGAGACAAAGTCAACAAAGAGAAGGAAGCTAAGCCTGACAACATCATCTTAGTTCCTGGATCTATCTCACTTAAAGCAAGACATCCTCACTACAGAGGCTGATAAAACGCCTTCTTATTTCACCTTGTTTAAATTTTATTTGTTACCTATAACCAATAAAGGACTGGTACACTTTCTTTATTTTTGGCCAAAATCTCACTTCCTTTAAGAAACCTTTCCTGCTCCCTTGATTAGAATTAACATCTCCCTCTTCTGACCTTCCGTGAGACTTGCTTCCTAGTACTTGGTGCTTATACTGAAGCCCATTGTATAAATCAAAGATATTATTAATTAACCTGTCTCTGTGTTAAGACTGTGAGATCCTCCCAGACATTTGTCTTTGTGCATTATTTGAATACAGTGCTGGGCCCACACCTACTCAATAAAAGTCTGACAATTTGAATTGAATTGAATCACTATACTTCATATGAGCTATTTACTCTGTGGGAGCCATCAATAAAACAGTCTCTGTAATCACTCTATTGGGCCCTGAATAACAAGTATGCAGAGCTCAAAAGAGGTTTAAAGAAAGAAATCAAAATCACCTAATTCGATTGTTCAAAATATCACATTAAATGAATGTTTTATAATTTTCTACTTAATTTTATCTACAAAGACAAACTGTTGTGCTCAGTTTGGCCATTAGTATACCTAGAAAATTTGCCGGGGCCATACTTCCTCTCCAGTTTATACTTGCGAAATCCCTGTTTATTGTTTTCTGTTGAGTGAGCCCTGGGGCACTCGGCTTCACTGAGTCGCAGGGAGGAAATAAGCAAACGTTCTTAGTAAGTGTGTTATGTAGACCTCCAACCAAACACACCTTTAAAAGTAAACATTGAAAAGAAGTCTGGGAACAGTGTTTTCAATAAACAATTATCAAAAAGTCATTTATGTTTATTGTAGAAAATTAAAGATGGATAGGATAGGTAAATGAAAAGAAATACAATCACTTATAATTCTACCACACAGCAATAGAGACATATTTTAAAAAATTAAAAATAAAATTTGGGAGGAGAAACAAGATGGCGCGTAGGTAACAGCTGCACCCACTGCCTCCCGCAACCACATCAAAATTACAACTAAAATACAGAACCACCATCACTCAGAGCCTCCTGAGATCTGGCTGCACAGAAGCCCCACAACCAGGGAGCTGAAGGAGCATCGAGACCGGGAGGAGGGGGGAGACGCGGGCGGATCGGGGCTGAATCGAGGAGACGCGGCCGCGGGCCCACACCCGGTGCCGCAGGTTAAACCCTGGAGGGAATCTCGGCGGCAGAGTTTTCCAGGAGGAGGGAGGGTGTCCCAGCCCCACAGCAGGCCCCCAGCCCAGGGCTCCAGGC